TTAAAATCAAAACCTTTTACGGTTCTTGGTCTGGTTTTCTTGCACAATACAACTTCTGAACCCAAAGAGGGAGGGGGGAGAGTTGCTAAAAATGGTTCAGCTGGTGTCTCATATTTCTTATTAAAGAATATCTGGAAACTAAGAAGCAAATATGTGGACTACATTTTCAGTTTAAAAAATAATGGAAAAAGTACTCAGTATAATATATTTTGTTTCCATTTTTTAGGCTGGTGTCTCATATTTCTTATTAAAGAGTATCTGGAAACTAAGAAGCAAATATGTGGACTACGTTTTCAGTTTAAAAAATAATGGAAAAAGTACTCAGTATAATATATTTTGTTTCCATTTTTTAAGATTAGATGTTTTTACTCACTTTCAAAAACAATCACTCCCCCATGGGAACTTTATAATAGTGGTTCTAGTTCATCCTGAAGGTTACAGTAAAATTTCCCCTAAGAACATGGAAATAAAGAGATAAGATTGTTCTCTAAGAAATTAACTTTAAGATCAACACAATGACCAGAAAATAAAGTTACCTTTCAAAAAAGAAAAAAAAAAAAGAGTGTCTCAGGGTCTAGAAGACCTATGAGTACACTTATTGTCCAAAATTATTACCAAAGAAGGAATCAAAGAGAAAGGGAGATGTGAGGGGCCAGGCACAGCTACGTACAGTAAGAATAGACTCTCTGGGACACACTCTCTGGGCAGGATCACCAAGACTTTTGAACCACTCACAGACTCTCCCTGATAAGAGAGAAATGCCCCAAACATACTTGGGCCTTGATTCATCCAATGTCTTTGTCCTACTTCAATCCCACTGAGCAGTGTTCTTTATGTGACTTGTTGTGCAAGACTTTCTGTGGGGAGAGAAAGCACTGACTATACAGACTTGGATCCATCTACCCAATCACAGATGTGAACTAAGCCCCACTAAGTGCCTTGGCCTGTCCCAGGCAACAGGGATACAGTGGAGAAGTAGACATTTCAGCTCCTTGGGAGAAATGCAAACAAGTAAATAAAGAAATAGGAAAATTGCAGCTAGTGATAAGAACCACTAAAAAAAATTAATAAATCTAAGTAATGAACTTGATAATGGCTGAGTGGTGGGTATTTTAAGAATAGGGATCACACCAATCCCACTTCTGAATATATATACCCAGAGGAGTGGAAAACATCATGTCAAAGGGATACCTGCACTCTCATGTTCATCACAGCTCTGTTTACAATGGCTAAGATATGGAACCAACCTAAATGTCCATCAATGGATGACTGGATAAGGAAACTGTGGTATATACACCATGGAATACTACTCTACCATAAAAAAGAATGAAATACTCCCATTTGCAACAACATGGATAAGTCTGGAGAAACTTATGTCGAGAGAAATAAGCAAAGCACACAGGGATAAATACCACATGTGCTCACTCATATGTGGGAGCTAAGAGAGAAAGAAGGAAGGAAAGAAAGACCACAGTAGTGGGCTGGTCTTGAAGAGGGAGAGAACATTCCTTGGACTACGAAGTGGAGTGGGGGGGGGGAGGGAGGGGGGATAATTGGGTGGGGGACACGGATACAAAAGCAATTTATGGTAATGAGCATGCTGCCAGCATGAATCTGGCCCTCAGATCATGCCGCAAGGGATGACAATCAGCATTGTATCTCATGAATATTCATAATAAATAAATAAATAAATAAAAAGAACAGGGCTCAGGAACAACTTGTTTAAGAAAGTGACATTTCATATAAAAGTGGAGGTATAGCCTACCCTGAGCATTTCCTAAAAGTATTTTTCAAAAAGGTTTTTTAAAAATTATACATTGACACAACGGTACAAAGATCCTGATGAAAAGACCTAGAACAAGCACATGAAAGGGCGTGCAAGGTGTGTGGATGGGGTAGGTAAAGCGTGGCTCCTTTATCTGTGCTTGCCCTTCACAAACACAGCGTAGCCCCGCCACCTCACTCCCAACCCTGCCCAGCCCTTTCCCAGGCTTGTGCCTGAGATGGAAGAACTTGTGCCTCAGGCTGACAGCTGGATGAGGATCCAGTATCTGCCATCCAATAATGGTGGAAGACATTGGGATGGATACATGAATTTGGAAATTGTCTATGCTTAGATGGTCTTTAAAGCCATAGGTATTCCTATCCCTGTGATGGTTATTTTTCTCTGTAAATGAATAAATTGAGTAACTCATCAAAGTGGTGGGTGCCAACCTGAGATGCCTCATAGCAGATGGCTGACCTTGCCCGGGCTGGGCCTGCCCTTCTGCTTTGCCACAGGCCTCAATTGAGAGCTACTTCTACAAGGTTGTTTTATTGTGTTTCCACGTATAAAAGACTGTGCCCAAGTTCCCCTTTATTATGGATCAATGTGGAAAGCTGAAAAAGTGACACATATTTAAAATATTTTTGAAAAATGCATCAAAGTACTTATTGGGTTGCAAAAAGAAATATTATGCAAATAAAGGGGAAACTTAACTAAGCAAATTAAGAGACAAAACCCTTGTGTAAGATTGTCTTAGAGGACACAAGCACTGACTTTGGGCTCAGTGTGGAAGGGCTCTATTATTATAAAATATTTGAGGACATTACAGAGAATGTTGGTTAAGTCACTTGATGAAGTAAGTATCAAAAAAGTCATGACAGAAATCTTAGAATGAAATGAAAGGGACAATTTCAATTCATCCCTTCAACAGCCACTGGTTGAATAAGTACTACGTGTTACTGTGTTGACTTCCTTCATGTCCTCCTGGGGCTCCTTTTTCAGCAGGGAAGACAGAGCATACTAAAGGGTGGAGTTGATGGAGGCAGGTGGGAGATACCTTCCGATCCTGGAGCTCGTTTTTCAGCAGGGAAGACAGAGCATACTAAAGGGTGGAGTTGATGGAGGCAGGTGGGAGATACCTTCCGATCCTGGGGCTCCTTTTTCAGCAGGGAAGACAGAGCATACTAAAGGGTGGAGTTGATGGAGGCAGGCAGGAGATCCCTTCCGACCGAGGCCGACCGAGGTAGGAGGTGATAGGCAGTGCCAATGAGAAAAACACAAATTGCCCTAGAGGTGATTTATCAAACACTAAATATAACCCTATGTTAATTGTACAAAAAACTTACATTCCTATTTGGAATTTAAATTTAAATTTTACTTCCAAATTATTGATGTAATTAAATAAAGTTAATTGACACATTAATGTTTTTAAGAGCCCTTAATGACATTTTTAGTGTCTTATAAAGTTATTTCCATTTTGCCCCCATTCTCTTTTATCATTTACTACCTTTTCTGCGTAAATCTAAAAGATTCTGGAGAGCAATAGTCAAGTTTCTTTGTAAGCCCAACCCTATATCTGCTTAAGGGAACCACAAGTGGCACATGGGAGGGGACAAGAAACAAGGAGAGGGGCAAAGCAGAGCCTCATAACTTCTATTTCATTCTAACTCCAAGGAGTTGGAGAGCTGTTCCTTTGATTAAACAAACCATGTTTCAGGGACTGAGTCATATCACTCCCCACTGCCACAGCAGGAAGCTGGCTGGGGCTTGCAATCTGTTGACGCTGATTCTTAGCTATCTCTCTGTCATCCTTTTGTACTTTCTTCCCAAGAACCTGTAAAAAGGAGACCTCAGGCCTGCTCAACCTGGGAGAAGTCCAGCCACCTTTGAGATTCTGGCTCTTTTGTCCTCTCCCCCCACCCCCACCTCAGTCTCTTGAACACTCCCTCTAATATGGCAGCAGGGCTCAGGATCTGTC